TTTATTGTAATAGTAATTAATATACTTCATCAGTTATTCACCTTACCAATGCAAACCAATTCTCTCTGCTCTCCTCCGAACTCGTCATATGTTTCGAATGGACGAGATCATGTTATACTTTTTTCCCGCCCTTTTATGTCATAAAGAAGAACTGTTAGCAGTTGATTGAATTGTTCTTTTTTGGCACCACAACCATATGGCCCAGAATCTCTACCATACTTGAGCCAAAGTCCAATTTCCCAAGCACATAAAAGGACTTCTGCCACAAAATGCCACCCCCGCCTTCAATTTTGAGGACTTTTTTTTGTGAGACTTGACCTGAAACCGGATATTTCCAACAATGGGATAAAATCGGCTATTTTGAGCCCTGTTACTCAAGTAACAAAGGCAGTACTGCATGGTTCCAGCCGTTTACCGCAATTGTTACACCATCGCAGTCAAATCACATTACGCAGTTGAGCGGTCATTTCCTGTTTCATTTCTCCCGGGGAATTGATATTCTCATGGGGAAAAAACTGTTCCTATGGGTATATTCAAAGTCATCGTTTTCCATTGCATTTTCGCTTCGTATTTCCAATGGGATTGACCTTTTGCTTATTCTACACAACATTGATGTTCCCCATTGAAGCCATGGCAGTGCACCCGAACGCCCGAACGATGACCGCCCTAATAAACATCCCATACAGACGGACACAGCGTAGTAGCTGATTGGTAGCGAGACATTTGTTATTTCCCACACATTGAACCACATGTTTTTGATTTAGATCGCTGGTATCGTAACAATTGGATTGGGACTATGGCTACTATGGGATCCTGTTGCATCTGAATTCTTCGCACTTCATTCAGCTCATCATGGTGGTTACTTTTGAAAACATTCCAACATCCCTCCCTCATGATCTCCCCAGAGGAACGTGTTTCTCTCTTCATAGGCTCTTTTCGGATTGTTGGATGGTTGTTGTTGGCCGCTGGAGCCATAATAACATTCGTCGGCTGTTGTGGTTGTTGCGGAGCATGGAAAATGAACCAGTGTGCTTTACTTGGAGTGAGTAAGAATCATTAAACAGTAAAGGAAAAAACAGATTTATCTAGTTACTAAGTAGTTTTTTTTCGTCTTCTGACGCTTACAACTTCTCATAGGGATCTCCAACAGCAGCTCATTAGACCCTCTTTGTTATTCAGGGGATACTCAAGTATTAATCTATGGGTAACCCGATGACATGAAAGCACCATGAGAATTCCTTTCATAGTACATGTCACTTTTCTGGAACTAGTTCCCACACGGCCCCACTCCAATATAAACTATCACCATTTCAAACGTTTTTTATACATAAATCGTCATAATTGAAAATATCTATCCCACGTTTTCGGATCAATAAATGGACGTCCATGATCCGCATAGACAGGTGGCACTAAGCAATGGGTTGCGAGAGAAATGTTGCCTGCAGGCTCCAATGAGTTTGACAGCTGCTTTTCCAGAATCTTTTAGATTTCTCGAAGACGGAAAGAATAATTTTCTTTGATATTTGAGATTCCAAGCATATTTTTTATAAATTAAAGCTTTCTGATTCAGTTTTTCACCATTCTCGTCATAGTATTCTGTTTGGAATTGGCAGCAGCCTATATTGCATACAATAAACAAGAAACTATAAGGTAAGTCAATAAGATTTTCATTGAGCTTTCGAAATTTTCTGGAACTTTTGACGTCATCTCCCGGATAAATCAAGTCAGCTGTGTCAAATTGGATTAACTTCTTTTCCACGGGAGCATCTCATCTCATAAACGAGCACGACCCTCCAGAGGGTTTTGATTTACGTGATTCCTCTGATGTAGGGGCGGAAATGAGACTGATAAATGCTGTCCATCAGATCCGTGTACATTTCGCTAAACGTATCGAATATCGTCTGGCAAAAACGAAACAACCCTATTCGTACTACAGTAGCCTAAACAAGTAGTAGTGCAGGG